AATGTTCTGCAGAATGCTAGTATTCCTATAGATGCTTCTTGGAAAATAAGGTTCGATGAGCAAATTTTTAAAAATGTTGGATTCAACAAAGTGAAGCAAATTATGTTATTTTTGTTTCCATATCAGTCTACCAGAGGAATCTTAATTTGATTATGAAACTCATTTTTGTGGGATATCTCATGGTATTAGAAATATTGCAAAGGATATATTTTAGGAAATATGGTTCTATTTTTAAAAAATTATATAAAATGAAATAAAACAATAATCATAGCCCACCTGGCCTCTGCTACTGTGAGGAAGATGGGGGCTGCAGGCTCGGTGGTTTTCCGGGAAAAGAAAAGACTGTACAGCCCCCTGGCTGTTTCATAAATTTGCTATTAGAATAATATTCCTTCATTCTTTAAACATTCAATGGAAGAATCCAAACTGAAGCAAAACATTAAAAAATACTTGCTAGATACACTAGTAGAAGTAAAATTATAGTTTTATTGTAAGGTTTAATATACAATGGATTTGAAAAACAGCTAGTTGCTAATCAGAATAATTGCCCTCTCTTATGAAGTCATTCTGTAGGGTGAAGTCTTTTCTTCTATGTGAATTACTTGTTTCCTGTAAAGAAAAAAAAAAATCAACATAAGGAAATCCCTGAGAGTTTTCTATACAGATGTCTCCAAAAGGGTTATTGTACCAAGTTTTTATTTCCAATGTCACATAATCTTGGTATAATTTATAAATGATAACAAAGCAATCAGGCCACATTCATAAAAGCCCAGTGACACATAATTTACTTGAATCTGAGGATTAGAATTAATTGTCTCTCTTTGTTCCAAGTTTAAATCTTAGTAAATGATTCACTGCATGTCATTACAGCTTAATATTTGCATGAAATCACAGTTTAGCTGGCATAATTTAACAGCAATTAAAAAGCTATTTAATCGTCATGCAAATTGGTATGAGGGCCCTTGAGTAAGAAGGGTGTCTGCCTTTTTTTTTTAAAGTATCTCCAGGCGGACAGTTAGATACTTGCAGACACCCATAACATAATTGATAACATTCATCCTATTCATGAAAATATAAGTGAATAATAATTCATGATTTCTATTATAAATAAGAGAAACGAGCAACAATATGAATATGTCATTCTGTAGGAAGACCTTTTTATGATAATGATAATGAATCTTTATCTTCCAGGCCTAAGTCTAAGTTGGAGGTAAAAAGTGAAACGTGTCATTTTGCTGCAGTTTGTAATGCCTTCTATATTTTCCTTTCTTTTTTTTTTTCCTTAAATGGTTTATGGTCAAGTTGGTTTACATATAACACCCAGTGCTCATCCCAACAAGTGACCTCCTCCATCCCCATGACACCCCCTGCCCCTCTCCCCCCACCTCAGCCCTCAATTTGTTCTCAGCATTCAAGAGTCTCTCATGGTTTGCCTCCCTCCCTCTCCCCAACTATTTTTCCCCTTCTTCTCCTGCTTCATCCTCCATTAACATCCTCTTAATCCACCTATATGTGCAAACATAAGGTATTTATCCTTCTCTGCCTGATTTATTCCGCTCAGCATAACACCCTCTGGTTCCATCCATGTTGCTACAAATGGCCAGGTTTCATTCTTTCTCATTGCCATATTGTATTCCATTGTATAAATATACCACATCTTCTTGATCCATTCGTCCATTGATGGACACTTAGGCTCTTTCCATGTTTTAGCTATTGTGGAGAGTGCTGCTATAAACCTTGGGGTCCATGTGCCCCTATGCATCAGCACTGTATCTCTTGGGTAAATTCCTAGCAGTGCTACTGCTGCGTCATAGGGGAGTTCTATTGTTAATTTTTTGAGAAACCTCCACACTGTTTTCCAGAGGGGCTGCACCAGTTTACATTTCCACCAACAGTGTAGGAGGGTGCCCATTTCTCCACATCTTCACCAGCATCTGTAGTCTCCTGATTTGTTCCTTTTAGCCACTCTGACCAGTGTGAGGTGGTATCTCAGCTTGGTTTTGATTTGTATTTCCCTGATGAGGAGGGATGCTGAGCATTGTTTCATGTGTCTGTTGGCCATCTGGATGTCCTCTTTGGAGAAGTGTCTGTTCACGTCTTCTGCCCATCTCTTCACTGGATTATTTGTTTTTCAGGTGTGGAGTTTGATGAGTTCCTTATAGATTTTGGATACTAACCTTTTATCTGATATGTCATTTGCAACTATCTTTTCCCATTCCGTCAGTTGCCTGTTAGTTTTACTGATTGTTTCCTTTGCCGTGCAGAAGCTTTTTATCTTGATGAGGTCCCAGTAATTCATTTTTGATCATGGTTTCCTTTTTGAAGGCAGACGTTTCTGCAAACTTCTGGAACATGAAACGGCATAAAGCAAAGTATGCAGAAACCTTTTAGAAAAGCTAGCCATTCCCTTTCTAGGTCAGGCTTTAGGTGATATACATACAGATGGCTGAGGCCCCTACACATCAGGTTGCTGTTATCAGGATCCAAAGGAAAGAAAGAAAGAAAGAAAGGAAAGAAGGAAGGAAGGAAGGGAGGGAGGGAGGGAGGGAGGGAGGGAGGAAGAGGAATATATAAAATAACCATTCTTAGTATTTCAAACCCAATACATAGTTATGTAGATTTATGAGTAGTGTTGTGATACTGTAACACTGTATAACAGATCTCACTAATAAGTTCCCTATGCTTATTAAGACTATTCCCTACACTGCATCCAGAATGCTTATTTCTTTAAACACATGGCCTCCTTATATTAAATCTGTAAGTCTGTTTTTGTTGTACATAGAAAAATTTCCAGACTCATTCTATTGACCCTAGGAGTTTTCTGCTATCCAACCCTTCTTCTTCCTTTAAGCTCACTTCTTGGGGCTCCTGGGTGTCTCAGTCATTTAAGCATCTGACTTTGGTTCAGGTCATGATCTTATGGTTCATGAGTTCAAGCTCCACATCGGGCTTTCTGCTGTCAGCACAGAGCCTGCTTTGGATCCTCTATCCCCTCTCTCTGCCCTTCCCCCACTGTTTCTCTCTCCCTTTCAAAAAAAAAAAAAAAAAGCAAAAAACAAACAAAAAGAACAAAAACAAAACACCACTCACACACTTTTTAAAAAAACCCTCACTTCTTGCTTTTTCCTTTTGCATTCTAGCCACAGTGATTATCTGCCAGTTCCATGACTATTTTAAGATCCTTCTTGACTAAAGAACCATCCATCTACCCTTAATATCCTCACTCTTCTGACATCCTCCTCACTAAGTCCATGAGGCTTTCCTCAGAATATTTCTCCAGATTGGTTATTCTGATAATGTGTATTTCAGCTCCTTTCCTTTTGGTTTTGCAATTGCACTTATTATAATTTGAATTTTATTATTCTGTTTATGGTTTATCTGCCATTCAACTAAACTGTAAATAACAAAATAGGAATTATGTTTGTAACATTAACACTTTAAATCCAAGATCTAACAGAGTATCTGGCACATATAGTAGTCACTTACAAATATTTATTTCATGAGTGATGACTGTATCTTGAAATCCGACAGAAGCCTGTAGCAAAACGTTAATCTTTTCCTGTGGAAAGAATGTTGTAGATAATACTCTCCCACCTTCTTTTTTTTTTTTTTTCTAATTTTTTTAATGTTTTATTTATATCTGAGAGAGAGAGAGAAAGACAGCGTGAGCAGAGAGGGTCAGAGAGAGAGGGAGATACAGAATCTGAAACAGACTCCCGGCTCTGAGCTGGCAGTCAGCACAGAGCCCAACACGGGGTTCGAACCCACAAACTGTGAGATCATGACCTGAGCCGAAGTCGGACGCTCAACTGACTGAGCCACCCAGGTGCCCCAATACTCTCCCACCTTCTAAGCAAATTCTCTTGATTGCAGAAAAATTAAAGAATTGTTTTAGATTTCCTTTAAGGTAATTTTTTTAAAGTATGGCAGGAATGTTATTTCATTAGTTATTTATTCAATAAATTATTTTTAAAGTATCTGTCAAAAGCATAGTCCCTTAATAAAGGATTCTGTATTATTTCACACATAGTGTAGTGCCTGACACTGAGCAGACCATCACTTAATGCTTGTACGATGAATAATATAAAACTGAGGTTTGAAGTGCTCATATAAGTGTAAAATATTGTTGACACAATTTTAAGAAAAGACTGGAGCAATTAAACGATATTAAGTACTCTATGTAGTATGATCCATATGGAAAATTAGTGAGAAAAGAGACTGAGGAAACATGCTCATGCACTTGTTAGGACTGACTTGGTTTATGCAGAATTTTGATGATAAAGAAGATTCTGTGGATCCCGCTGTTAGCTTTTAAAACACACTTATTTGTGTTTAGTATAGTTAACCTAAGTAAAAGTCAAATCACCATATCTCATGTATACATACCTCTTTTATCCCTTCCATATAATACTTTTATTCCATGAAATTGGCAAGGCCCCAAGAAAAGTCTTTTTGCTACTTCCAGCTTTCCTTTCTCTTCTTCTTCTTTCAAACTCTCTGTCTACCTAAAACCTATCATTTTTTTCTCAACCCACGAGAAATAGATCCTTAGGTATTGTCAAAGGTAGTAAGTGGGAGTTTTATCTATATACCAAGTGTAGTATGAAGACTGAAAGACTGAAAACAGTATGTTTTGAAAATGGTGTAATAATTATTAAGATGTAATTTAAAACATCACATAATTTAAAATAAAGTTTGCTTATTATATACTTCAGTAAACAAATTTTCAAAGTATAATTATATCTTTTGGAGATCTTTGGCTTTTGATTTTAAATACTCATATTCACATATCAAAATGTTAAGATATAGACCATCTACACTGCGAATATTCCTTTCTTATTAGACTTAATCAGAAGTTTTTCACCATATTTCTTTATTCCCATTAGAAGAAAGAGGTCAAACTAATATAAAAGTCAAATGTTTATTAAGTTTTCAAGTTAGCACCCTTCTCATTCATTGTCCTACACATGTACATTTGTTTTTTAATTGCTTTTCTCTAGGGCCACCTTCAGCTCCTAGGAATGTGGCTTTTAACATCAATGAAACAGCTCTTATTTTGGAATGGAGCCCACCAAGTGACACAGGAGGGAGAAAAGATCTCACATACAGTGTAATTTGTAAGAAATGTGGCTTGGATACCAGCCAGTGTGAGGACTGTGGTGGAGGACTCCGCTTCATCCCCAGACATTCTGGCCTCATCAACAATTCTGTGATAGTACTTGACTTTGTGTCTCACGTGAATTACACCTTTGAAATAGAAGCCATGAACGGAGTTTCTGAGTTGAGTTTTTCTCCCAAGCCATTCACAGCTATTACAGTGACCACGGATCAAGATGGTAAGTTCCACTGCTATTCTCTCTAAACTTACCCACCACTTATTCCTGGTGGACTTCTATTCACTGAGGTACAGTTGTATACTCCATATGCTAGAGAAGTGATTTTCTGGTTGTTGTTCTTACTGTTTTCTAAGGTCCAGAAAGGTATTATTTATTGATAAGGTTATTTAGTAACTTATTAGTAAGGTTAATTAGATATAATGCTACTCTCTAATGTTTATGCATTGCTTTTGATATAATCCTATACAAATACATCTTAATGAGCAAGTATATATTACCTCACCAACAAACATCAGATACAAAAAAAATGTTGCTAAGTGAATGGAAATTCAGTTATTCCACTTATGTTGCCATTCCTTTCCCATATCAAATAAAGCAAATAGTAATAATTAATATTGATTATGACTCGTATCTATGATGTGAAAACATCACAGCCAACATGTTTAATTATGACCCACTTTGAAAAGAGCAAAAAAATATCCAGAAATAAATCCAAATGCTATTGTTAAGTACCATTTGTAAAAACTAGTTACATTGTCTTTTTAAAAAATCCAGTTACTTTCAGTTAAATGTTCCTGTCATAACTCTATACATTTTTACTGCAACATAATTAGGCAGGAATACTTCTATGATTTTTATAAGTGTATATTTTCTTTAACTCCCTCATATCATAATTTATGGTAGTACATGAATCAAGAAAAGCATCAGATTTCTAAAAACTCCCTTTGAAAAGCATTCATAAATTATGTGGACACACAAACAATTGTCTTACAATAGAAAATATTGTTATATATGAGGTAAATTTATAAAGATAAAACTACTCTTTTATATTGAATTTGTTGGCTAACTCTACTGTAACAAATGCCATACACTATGTGACTTAAACAACAGAAATTTATTTTCTTACAGTTCTAGAGTCTAGAAGTCCAAGAATAAGGTGTCAGCAAGGTTGATTTCATTCTGAAACTTGTCTTCATTTTACCTTCATTACTGCTTTGAAGGCCTTATCTCCAAATATAGTTACGTTCTGAGGTTCTGAGGTTAGAACTTCAACATATGAATTTTGGGCATGGAGGTACAGTAAGGCAGCATATGGTGATATTTAAAATGAAAGTATATGGAATGTGTTGAAATATTACTCAGCAATAAAAAGGAAGAAATTATTGATACACATAACTTAAATGAACTTTAAGGATCCTATGCTGAATAAAAAGCCAATCTCAAAGGGATGTATACTGTGTGATTCACTTATATAACATTCTTGAAATAACGTAATTATAGACATGAGGAATAGATAAATGGTGGCTAGGACTGGGATTTGAGAGAGAGGCATATCACTATGAAGGGCAGGAAAGAACCTTGTGATGATAATACAGTTAAATCTCTTTTGTGGTGGCATTTACATGAAGCTACATATAGGATAAATTGCATTGAGCTACACATACACAACATGCCCTGTGGATTTTATTACCCATATCAATTTTCTACTTTTGAATTTGTACCATAGCTATGTAAGTAGTTAATACTGGAGAGGCTGAGTAAACGGTGTATGGGACTTCACTATATATATTTTTATGAATCTATAATTATTGCAAAATAAAAAGTTAAAAAATATTGCTAAACCTGTAAATGCACAGAAAAAAAACTTTAACATTTTACTAAGAACATTTTAAATGAATGTGACTTTTATTTAAACTATCACACATAAATTCCCATTGCCGATGATCTTTAGAATGCATCTAATAAGTAAAGCAAAGCCAAACAGTATCATACAATCATCATCTTTGTATTTACTGTGCAGTTTTCCCCTTTATTAGCAAATAGTTACACACCATAGAATTTGCTTTATGGCTATTAAAATGGAATTCCTATTTCCTCTTTTTTTTTATTCTTTCCCATAATATCAACAGAATCTTGTCAAAGTATATTCAGGATAAAACAGACTAGGGTCTTTTGTTCCTCTCAGCATTAGCAGATTATTTCTAAGGCCTTTTGGCTGTCGCCAGGTCAAAAAATACAACTCAGAACAATTGTTCTTAACTACAGGGTATATATAATAAGTTGGGGAATAAAGACAGTGTATCACAGGGGCACCTGGGTGACTCAGTTGGTTAAGTGTCCTATTTAGGCTCTGGTCATGATCTCACGCTTATTGGGTTCGAGCCCCTCGTCAGGCTCTCTGCTGACTGCCAGCTCAGAGCCTGGAGCCTGTTTCAGATTCTGTATCTCCCTCTCTCTCTGATCCTCCCCTACTCACACTTTCTCTCTCTCTCAGAAATAAATATTTTTAAAAATAAATAAATAAAATTTTTAAAAATAGACAGTGTATCACTTTAAATAAAATATATACATAACTATATTTACATATTTCCATACAAATTACACTGAACAACCTTTCATTCTAGGATTAAAAGAGTTACTTAGTCTACTTTCCCACTTAGCACAAAGACAGAATATAAATTGTTTCTCACTTTTAAAATGAGAGAATTCATTAAAACTGTATTGCTGTGATGACAGAAGGTTAATTGGAGACAAAATAAAATATAGTATCTATATATTGACACTATAAATTCTGGAAGGATAATATTATTAAACAACCCTCCCCAGTAAATTTTTCTTTGTTGTAGACTGTTAAGAAACAATTATCGCTAATTTAATTTAACTGTGTTTTAGATATAAATACTAAGAAAATTCATCTTACATATATTTAAGTATCATCTTACATATATTTGAAAAGTACGTAAAGGACGTAAACTGAGCTAAAATACTGACATAAAATATTTAATAAAATAATATGACAAGCAGAAACAAGATAATTCTCACTACATTTCTTCAACATAGTACTAGAAGTCCTAGAGACAGCAATCAGACAATTAAAAGAAATAAAAGGAAACAAACCTCAAGAGACTCTCAATGATAGAGAACAGACTGAGAGTTGATGGAGGAAGGTGGATGGGGGATGGGTTAGACGGGTAATGGGTATTAAAAGAGTCCACATGTTGTGATCAGCACCGGGTTTTGTATGTAAGTAATGAATCACTGAATTCAATTCCTAAAGCCATTATTATTGCACTGTATGTTAAATATTTAAAATTTAAATTAAAAAAATAAAGCACCTTACATGAAGAAAATTATTTAATTTAAAAACAGAAATTCTGATATGCATATAATATTCTTATTATATTATTATATTATATTATATTATATTATATTATATTATATTATATATCTATTATATTGCAACAACATGGATGGACCTTGAGGGCATTGTGCTAGGTGAAGTAAGTCAGAGAAAGACAAATACTACATGATCTAACTTATATGTGGAATATAAAAAACAACAAAACAAAAACATGAGCTCGTAGATACAGAAAACAGATTGATGGTTGCCAGAGGCAGAGGGTGAAGAGTAGAAAAAATAGGTAAAGGGAGTCAAAACTTCCACTTTTAAATAAATGTCATGAAGATATAATGTACAACATGGTGACCATAGTTAATAATACTGTGTTGCATATTGGAAAGTTGCTGAGAGTAAATCTTAAAAGTTCTCATCGCAAGAGAGGAAAATCTGTGATGATGATGTTAACTAGATATTGTGGTGATCATTTCATAATATATACAGTTATATGATCACTATAGTGTACTACTGAAACTAATATAATGTATGTCAGTTATACCTCAATAAAAAAGTACAAAATATAAATAAAGAACTAAATATTAAAAAAAGAAATAAAAGTCATCTAAATAAGTAAGGAAGAAGTAAAATTTTCACTGTTTGTGCATGACATGACACTATATATACAGAAAACCCAAAAGACTCCACCAAGAAACTATTAGAATTGATAAATCAATGCAGTAAATTCACAGGATACAAATCAGTGTGCAAAAATCTGTTGCACTTATATACTAATACTGAGGCAGTAAAAAGAGAACTCAAAGAATCAATCATATTTACAATTGCACCAAAAATTGTAGGATCCTAGGAATAAACCTAATCAAAGAGGAGAAAGACCTGTACTCTGAAAACTGTAAAACACAGATGAAAGAAATTAAAGACAGTAAAAAAGAAATAGAAAGACATTTCATGGTTATGGATTACAAGAACAAATGTTAAAATGTCCATACTACCCAAAGCAATCTACACATTTAATGCAATCCCTATCAAAATACCAAAAACATTTTTCACAGATCTAGAAAAAACAATCCTATAATTTATATGGAACCACAAAAAAAAAAAAAATAGCCAAATAACCAAAGCAACCTTGAAAAAGAAAAGCAAAGCTGGAGGCATCATAATTCTGGACTTCAAAACTATAATGACCAAATCAGTTTGGCACTGGGATGAAAATAGATACATAGATTAATGGAACAGAATAGAAAAGCCATAAATGAACCCACAACTGGATGATCAATTAATATTCAACAAAGCAGGAAAGAATATCTAATAGGAAAAAGACAATCTCTTCAACAAATGGTGTTGGGAAAACTGAACAACATTCAAAAGAACGAAACTGGACCACTTTCTTACACCATACACAAAAATAAACTCAAAATGGATTAAAGACCTAAATGTGAGAACTGAAACCACTAAAGTCCCAGAAGAGAACATAGGCAGTAACCTCTTTGATGTTGGCCATAGCAACTTTTTTCTAGATCTGTCTCTTGAGGCAAGGGAAACGAAAGCAAAAATAAACCATTGGAACTGTGTCAAAATAAGAAGCTTCTGCACAGTGAAGGAAACAAAACTAAAAGGAAACCTAAGGAATGCAAAAAGGCATTTACAAATGATATAGCTGATAAAGGATTAGTATCCAAAATATATAAGGAACTTATAAAACTATACCCTAAAACAAATAATCTAATTAAAAATGGGCAGGAGCATGAATAGCCCTTTCTCCAATGAAGACATACTTATGGTCAACAGACACATAAAAAGAAGCCCATTATCACTTACCATCAGGGAAATGCATGTAAAACCACAGTGTGATATTACCTCACAC